AAAGACAAAAGAAACGAAAGACTGATGTGTGCAGGGGACTGTGGGGAAAAAAGACACATCCCTAGAAGCAGAATGCAGCACTTCCATTGGAGGGTCACTTCTTTCTTCCCTTTCATCCTATAAGCCCGTTAGATGATGCCACCTGTATCAGGATGGGTCTTCCCTCCTCAGCTTGCTGTCCCACATGCCAATAATGTCTGGACACCCACAGACACACCCAGAAATCCACTGCACTAATCTGTGAGGTATCTCCAGGTATCTCTGAATCCACTGCACTAATCTGTGAGGTATCTCTGAATCCAGTCTCATTCACCAACTACAAGAACTGCCATACATGAGAAAGCTAAGATGTAGACCAGAAAGCAGAATAGTGATTCCTAGGAGCAGGGGAGGGTGAGAGGGAAGACAAAGTGTGGGGTGGGATGGCGTGGGAAAGGCCAGCTGGATTCTATCAAGGCATTCTGCATTCATGGTTGGAAACAAACATGGTAATACTTAGAAAGGACATCTGAGTCACTACTGTTTAATGTTCATGCAATTCAGATTGGAGACTATAAGGAAAAGTAAATTTGTGGCTCTTTACCTGAAAAAACATGTCACCTCAGAGGTGAACACAAGAAAAGCTGAAAGATCAATGGGAAAGTTGAGAACCCAGAAATAGCTCCACATGAAGATAGTCAACTGATCTCTGCCGAAGAAGTTACTGATAACAGAGAACAAAAGCGTCCTTCCGACCAGTACTGCTGAAGCAACTGGACATCTATCTAGATGCAAACAGAAAAAGAATCTGAGCCTGACACTTCTCATAAAAATTAACTCAAAATGGATTGTAGACTTGAATGTAAAACACAAAAGTGTAAAACTCCAAATGATGAAGTAGACAACCTTGAGACTGGTGAGAACTTTCCAGATACAATGCAAAGGTCAGATCCTTAAAAGAAAAAGCTGATAAGGAGGACTTCATTAAGATGGAGAACTCCTACTTTGCAAAAGAGAAAGTAAAGAAATAAAGAGATAAGCCAATGACCTGGAGGAAATATTTGCAAAAGAATGGAGTACAATTGTGTCATAAATAAGAATAAACATCTGTCCTTTGCAGGGAAATGGATTCACCTTAAGACCATGATGTTAAGTGAAATAAATCAGACACCCAAGCTTACATATTGTATGGTTTTTCCTACACAAAAACCCAAAGTATAAGTAAACTAGGGGCTGGGGATTTAGCTCAGTGGCACAGCGCCTGCCTGGCAAGCGCAAAGTTGTGAGTTGGATTCCCGGTACCGGAAAAAAAGCAAAAAAAAAACCAACAAAAAAAATAAGTAAACTAAAGAGCAAAATGGAAATGGATGTTAGGAAGGAGGGAAATAGATCTTTCTCAAATGAGCAGTAGGTCAAGAGAGGAGGGAGGCAGGGACAGGGGAGGGGTGAGAGACAGAATGATAGGAGGAACTGGGATGTACAATGCACACTGGCCAGCACCACACAGGGAATGTGAATACTATGTACTAAAAGCTTGTACGGATTGAATAATTTTTTTAAAACCTCACATCTAATAAAAAGGCTGTTATCCAAAATATATAAAAATATGTCAAACTCAACAATGAGAAAAATATCTGGTGAAAAAATTGACAAAAGCCATTAACTGATACTTAAAGAAGACATACAAATGGCAAAAAGCATATGAAAAGATGCTCCACTTTTCGTATCCTCAGGGAAATACAAATTAAGATCACATTAAGATATCACCACAGGCCTATCAGAATGGCCAAACTGCAAAACACTGCCAACGTCAAATACTGGTGAGGATATA